GTTCGTGTACAGGGAGGTACCCCAGGAGTCTACCGGATTTTCGCCTTTCGAACTGTTATATGGAAGGAGGATAAGGGGCCCCCTGGACCTGATGAGAGACGAATGGGAGGGGAAGGCCACTCCCAATGGAGAGTCAGTGGTGGAGTATGTCCTGATCTTCTGAGAGAGACTTGCTGAACTCATGGGCCTGGCCAGGGAGAATCTGGCCAGAGCCCAGAAGAAGCAGAAGGTCTGGTATGACCACACGGCACGGGCCTGTGCCTACGCCACCAGGGATCAGGTGATGGTGAGAAAGAACAAACTACAGGTTGCCTGGGAGGGCCCTTTAAGGTTGTCAAGCAGCTAAATGAGGTAAACTATGTGGTGGAGCTGTCTAACTGGGCGCACCACCGCCAGGTGTATCATGTGAATATGATGAAGCCATATTATGCCGGGGGGAATGTGGTGTTGGCCGTGTGTGGACATTGGGAGGAGCAGGGAGATGACCCTTTAGCGGATCTATTCCCTGGGACCCGAGCTGGTTCACCCCTGGAACAATACCCCTCTCGGATCAGCTAACCCCTGCCCAGCAAGCTGAGATCAGAGGGGTGCTGCATCCGTACTGACAGCTGTTTTCCAACCAGCCTGGACGCACTAATCTGACTGTCCACCCAGGTGCAGACAGGATCGCACCCGCCGATAAGATGCTCCCCCTTTCGAGTCACAGGGAAAACTGCTCAGGACCTGGAAAGAGAGGTCAGGGACATGCTGGCATTGGGGTGATCCAGCCATCTGCCAGCAGTGCTGGTCCCCAAAAAGGAAGGGTCGATCCGGTTCTGTGTGGACTATCGGAAACTCAATGCCACCACTGTATCTGATGCCTACCCCATGCCCAAGCCTGATGAGCTCCTAGACAAACTGGGAGGAGCTCGATACCTTACCACCATGGATCTTACAAAGGGCTACTGGCAAATGCTGCTGGATGCAGATGCCCGGCTGAAATCTTTATCAACCCTCTAGGGCTCTATGAGTTCCTGACCCTGCCTTTCGGCCTCAAGGGAGCACTGGCCACCTTCCAGAGCCTGGTGGATCAACTACTGAAGGGGATGGAGAGTTTTGCAGCGGCGTATATTAATGACATCTGTGTCTTTAGCCAGACCTGGGAGGACCATGTGTCCCAGGTTAGACAAGTGCTGGACCAACTCCAGGAGGCTGGGCTGACCATAAAAACGGAGAAGTGCAAGATGGGGATGGCTGAAGTATCTTACCTGGGCCATCGGGTGGGGAGCAGCCACCTAAAGCAGGAACCAGCTAAGGTGGAGGTGATCAGAGACTGGCCCACTCCCCACACCAAAAAGCAGGTCCAAGCCTTTATTGGGTTGGCAGGATAGTATAGAAGGTTTGTGCCCCGCTTTAGCGCCATAGCCACCCCCATCACTGAGCTATTCAAGAAGGGGAAGCCAGACAAGGTGGTCTGGACCGAGCAGTGCCAGGAGGCTTTCCAGGCGCTGAAGGAGGCTCTGGTCAGTGGCCCAGATCTGGCAAACCCAGATTTTGACAAGCCCTTTATGGCGTTCACCGACGCCTCAGATACGGGACTGGGGGCGGTGTTAATGCAGGAGGATGAAAAGGGGGAGAGACACCCCATCGTGTACCTGAGCAAGAAGTTGCTACCCCGGGAGCAACACTATGCGGCCATTGAGAAGGAGTGCCTGGCCATGGCGTGGGCCCTCAAGAAACTAGAGCCATATCTCTTCAGGCGACACTTCACCGTGTACACCGACCACTCTCCCCTGACCTGGCTGCACCAGATGAAAGGAGCCAACGCCAAACTCCTGAGGTGGAGCCTGCTCCTGCAGGACTATGACATGGACGTGGTCCATGTGAAGGGAAGTGCTAACATGATAGCGGATGCGTTGTCTTGGAGAGGGGGCCCTGAACTTCCCCAGGTCACTGGTCAGAGTGACCCCGCTCAGTTCAGTCGCGAAGGGGGGAGAGATGTGACACAGCAGGGAGGGGGGAGTGTTGACCTGGGAATGTGGAAGGGGAGTTTCACTGGGGATGGGACACCTGAGAGCCTGTAACCTGAGCCGGGAGGGGGAGGTAACACCTCTGCCCAGGAAACTGGACAAAGGTTGCAGGAGAGAGCCTGCAGGGGGAGTTTTGGTTTCAGTTTGGTGCTGAAACACAGGGAACCCCAGGGCTGGGGTCTAAACTCCCTGCCCCCCAGAAGGACTTGACTGAGGGGTCCTGGTTGTACCCACAAGCTCTGTTTTAGACTGTGTTCCTATTGTCCAATAAACCTTCCGTTTTACTTGCTGGCTGAGAGTCACAGTGAATCCCAGGAAGAGGGGTGCAGGCCCCAGACTCACCCACACTCTGTGACAAGTACCCTTTGGACATCCAGAGAATGAAGCTGCCTCTATTTGTTAGAAGAAAAAAAGGTAAGTAGATGGTTTGATGCATGTGAAACTCTGAAATTACTTTAGGGATGAATTTTCAGTTGGGGAGTAGTGAGACCTTTTCTTTATGGAAGGTAGCATACGTCAGATCTGCCATGACTGCTCCCAGCTCACTGACTCTTCTGGCTCATGTTGTGGCAACTATAAAGGCAACTTTCATTGAAAGATGACACACAGAACATGAGAACACAGGTTCAAAGGGAGGACTGGTGAAACGACAGAACAAGACTGAGGTCCCACTGGTGTATGAGGTTCACCAAGGATGGGAAGGATCGAAGAAGTCCCTTCAGAAATCTAGCTCTTGCAGGATGAGTGAAGATAGTATAATTGTCAACAAGGGAATGAAAAACACGGATTACTGTCAAACGAACCTAAAGGGAACGGTGTCTTAAGAGTAAGCAGATATTCCAGAACAGCAGGAATCCCACCACAGATTCTGGAAATAACTGGAATAGACTTTCATCTACCTGATCATTACCTGGTAGAATCTTTTCTGCTTTGATAGAGAATGGACCACACACAACCCTGGAACATGAGTATCTACATCCGATGCCTGTTCAAATACCAGGTCCTGAGTTGCAGCAGTTCCAGGTTGGAGTGCCTGAAGTTGATCTTGGGTGTTAGAAGGTTGGGAAACAGGTGGATGTTTATGAGTGGAATAGCTAGGAGCTTCACTAGATCCGAAAACCAGAAACATATCGGCCAGTTAGGTGCAATAAAGAGGACTCAAGTGCTGTTGTGATGGATTTTCTGTAGGACTTGTGGTATTAATGGGATTGGAGGGAAGGCATAGCTGAGGTGATACCTCCATGGTAGCAGAAGGGCATCTCCCTTTGAATCCCTGCCTCCACTGTTCTAAAGCAGTATAGGGGAAATCTGCTGTTCACCTGTGAGGCAAAAAAGGTCTCAAGACTGTTCCCCACTGAGTAACCTTGCCCAGGACCGAATTGGGAATCTCCCACTCATTGTCCATGGAAAAATGCCTGCTGAGACTGTTCACTAGGGAGTTCTGCACATCTGTCAAATATGCTGCTGAAAGGGTTACGTGATGGCTGATGCACCAATTCCAAAAGCTGACTGACTAACAAAGGAGGGATCTTGTTCCACTCTGATTGGTTTATATAGCAGCCAGTTATAACGTCCTATGTTATCTGGTTATGACAGGACAGCATGAGTGGGAGGAAGGCATTGTAGGCACAACAGACCACCTCTTAGTTCAGTAAATTGATATACATCCTGGACTCCCAAGTGGTCCAGATGCCTTGTGCAGTATGATTATTCATATGAGCGCCCCAACCTAAAAGGGAGGCATCAGTAATCATGGTTACATTGGGTGTTGGTGTGATGAAAGGGATCCCCACTCAAACTTTTTCTGCCTTTGTCAACCAGACAAGTCCAGAGGAGCCTCGGACAGAATTGTCATTTTGGCACTGATGTTGCCCCTCACTGGGGAGCAGATGCACAGGTTTGCAGACAATGGAGATGAAGCCTAGCACATGTGCATGAGTGGGACAGGCGTGTTCTGACTGAAGTCTGGGGCCTATGGATGACCTGGTTTATGAGAGCACCCATGACATGGATTGTCTTAATTGCTAGAGGAATCAACCACAGCAAGAACCTAAGTCACTCCTGTGAAGTTTATGGACCTTATGGGAGATGATCAACATGGACTTCTCTTTTTTGATGCAAACTTCTAGAGAAGGAAGGAAGTAGGTAAAACAGGAAACGGGTGCGGACCAATGGATGCTGCTTACTAAATGTGTCTGGGCTCAGGGGCATGATGCACATGCGTACAGGTGTGGAATACACATAGGGACTATCACTTGAAGAAGCCATTTATGCCAAAAATAATTCAGAAAACTGGCAATTTTTAGGAGTAGATTTATACTTACTCCGTTGGGAGTGACTGAATATGTGCAACTGTACATCTCATTTCCAGTTTCAATTACAAATGAATAGCCAGGACTCCTGAAGCTGGTGAGGATCCCTTGATAGAAATAACCCAGGAGGGAGAGTGTAGTGGTCATATCTTCTTGAAAATGGTATATAAGAATGTGCAATAAATATTAAGTAGTAAGTGTGACTGGGGCAGGCAGAGTTTTAGACAGACAGATGTGCAGCTACTGTTCGGTAGCATTACTGGGTATCCCGATCCTGTTGAAACACAGGTCGAGCAGACAAATGAGAAAGGATGAAAAATTTAAAAGATTAAATGGGGAAGACCCTACTAGAACATATCTTGGGACATACAACACAAAACATGCCTTGAGTACTCCCCATGATTAACAGCTCCTCCCTTATTTCTCTCTAGTTGAAGATGGGATGAATCTCCATGTGGAGTCTTTCACTGCCACTTCATAAATGGAAAGATGAGCTGCTACTGGGGTATAAGAGACACCTCCTGCTCCAAAAGGTGATACACCAAGAACTGCCAGGAAAGAGGAAGTGACCTCAAACCTTCCGCATAACCATGTGCTTTACCTTCCCTAGGTTACCCAGGGAGCCTCTATTAGCTGTATTTAAAACTTTCAGCATGCTATTTATGTTATGTTCTCTTACCTCAAATTTGTCAGGGTTATGCATTCCTGGGATTGACTGCATTAGGTGGGAGGTTGGATGATTTCCAAAATCAGAGCTCACGTAGCCAACACGAAGCCGGCCTTCACTGGCCTTCAAGTCCTTTGGATGCTCATATGGTGGCTTGTGAAGGACATTGATCTGGCAATCAAATTCACAAGATTTTTTTGAGACATCATAAACTTTAAACAAAATTTGAAGCGGCAAAAGCACAGATAGTAAATAGGATAGACTTTCAGAATTACACAGTTTTATTATTTTCCCCATAGTTAAGTTTCTATGCTAGTGCATTGATGAAGTTTCTGTTTATCACCCAATAATGTTTGAAAACCACATCTGACCAGTTCCCAGATTTCAGGTAGACAGTTGCACATTTGTTGCTCACACAGGCCAAGCTGTGTGTTATCCAAATTTGAGTCCAAATGGAGGCCTGACTGAGTGTAAAGCTTGTTCTATACATCCTCTAGTTAAAGAGGAAAGCCATGTATCAAAATTTGATCAAAAGATTAGTGTACTAAGGGAGCAACTGGGTCAGTCACTAAAGTGCTGCATGCAGGCTGATGAATATTGAGTGCACTGAACTGGCAACACGATTAGGCAATGTAGGAGAGAGCAGATGATGTCAGTCTAAGCAAAAAGCTGAATTCATCGGTTCTAAAAAGAGTCCCACCCTATGGGTCCACAGTCAGGGTGGAGATGAGGCAGAGGATCAGATATTGAGGGAACAACATAGGATTCTAAAGAGACAAGGCGGGTGAGGCAATATCTTTCATTGGACCAACTTCTGTTGGAGAGAGAGAGAAAAGCTCTCCTGGGACTGACACAGCTACACCACCACTGCGCACACGAAAGAACTCTGTCAGATTTGGGTCAGGAGGGAGGAATTGTCAGAGTAAGAGATTTTGGCGGTGATTGTTACTGATGGCTGTTAAATCTGACTGACCTCTTCCCAATACCAGAGAATACCAAACTGCACAAAACCAGGAAGTGAAGAGACCCATCCATCTCAACAAGGTGGTAAATCTGAAGCTGAGAACGTCTATTTTAAAACTGGCATTACATACCTGAATATAACTGACCAATGCACAATCTGTTCTTCCTCAAGTATAATCAAGTACATGGAAAAGTCTTCAAAGTTCCTACCTTATCCAAACAGAGATTTCCATGTCTCTCAGCGATAGCCTTCCTAAAGCTGTGAGAAAGGGGGTACAGCATGCTGTGATGAGGGTGGACAGAAGGCAGTCTATTCTTCTCCAGCTGATCAGCTACAATGCTGACCAGCTTTTTCATTCTTTCATCATAATCCGTCCAGTCACAGACAATCTAAAAGGAGAAACAAAGGAACCAGGGGTCACCTAATGAAATTAATAGGCAGAAGGTTTAAAACAAACAAAAGGAAGTACTTCACACAATGCAGTCAACTTGTGGAACTTGTTGCCAGGGTATGCTGTAAAGGCAAAACTACAATGGGTTCAAAAAAGAATTAGCTAAATTCATGGAAAAGAGTTCCATCGATGGCTATTAGCCAAGATGGTGAGGGATGCAAACGCATGGCTCTGGATGCCCCTAAGCCTCTGACTGCCAGATGCTGGGACTGGATGACAGGGGATGGATCACATGATAATTGCCCTGTACGGTTCATTCCTTATGAAGCATCTGATAGTGGCCACTATCAGAAGCCAGGATACTGGGCTAGATGGATCATTGGTCTGACCCAGCATGGCCATTCTTATGAAAAATTGAATGGCTGGTTAGAATACTTTAAACAACTGCACTTGACCCAGGTCAGAGCTTTGAGAAGCTCTGTTTACATGGGACTGTGATTAACATTTCTTCCATTCCAAGAGATAAAAAGGTACTTGAAAAGTATTTTAATAACCATTACAGCTCACTTGTATTTCAAATCACCTGTGACCCAAGCACAGTTCTGTAAGAGAAAATAGCTCCATAGTCTTATTTTCTAATTTGACTAAGACTTATTTCTGCTCCTTTTAAAATATATACACTGGATCCTTGATATGTGGTTAGTCCTGGATATTTACATTAGAATAATCTCCAAAAGAATTATGGTCAGATCTCTCTCTTCTCACCTGCAAGCAGTGGGCTAAGTTGCAATAAGCATCTGGGAAATCAGGTTTCAGTTTCAGAGCAGTGCGATAAGAAGCAATGGCTTCTGGTATGTTCCCTGAATCCTGCAAAAAGCAGAGACTAAATCAGCAAGCAAAAGCAGATTCAGGAATGAATTTGCCAAATGCATCACCGTGTTATTAAAAAAATAAAGCCATGAACATGGCTGTACCTTGTGAATAGAGGCCAGGTTACTGTGGGCATCAGCAAAAGCAGGGTTTATCTGGATGGCACGGGTGTAACATTGTAAAGCTCCCTGAACATCCTGCATCTCCTTTAAAGTATTCCCCATATTTGAATAAGCATCTGCAAACGTGGGGCTGATTCTAAAATTAAAGAACACACCATTCATTATCCACAGTACAAGTTGTCTGTCCTCTAAGAATGCCCGTCCAGACTGCTATTCGATTATTGGTTTGCATAATAGTTATAAGCCATTTTCTAAATGATTGTAGAATTCCTGTCACCAGTCTCAGAATTTTAGAAAGCAAAATTCTTACCTAATAGCCTCTTTGTAATGCATCAGAGCCTCCTGCAGCTTTCCTTGCTGCTGCAGAACACTTGCTAAATTTGAATGGGCAGCAGCAAACTCTGGGAACACCTATAGGAAACAAAGGAGAGTTAGTTTGCCCCACAGATCTTCCAAGGACATCACATTGCAGAACAGTTAGAAGTGGGTTTCTGCTTATGCCCAAATAAATCTGTTAGTTTTTAAGGTGCCACTGGACTCCTCGTTGTTTTTGCGGATACAGACTAACATGGCTACCCCTCTGATAGTTGTCCGTTGTTATTCTCCTTGGCAAAATCAATCAAATCTTAAACAGAAGTACCACCTCCTCTATCTACTTCTTTATCGAATACAATCCACCCCTCATATGTTTCCACATCCTACCCTCCTCCTTATATCCAAATGTACCTCAAGAGCTTTTCTGTATAGGCGAACAGCCTCCTCAATGTTTCCCTGTTCTCGCTTGATGTTTGCCAGGTTATTAAGTGAGTCTGCATGTGTGGGGCACAGACGAAGAGCTGTATTGTAACATTCTTCTGCTTCAGCAACCTTAGAAACAAATGGAATTGTGTTCAAGCAGTACTTAACAAAATAAACAAGGAAATTGCTGTTTGACATATTTCTGTAACAACACTGCTTAATGAGAAAGTCACACTACATCCTGGGGGGATTCTTCGAGACTGCATGCCCGCAGAACACCGCCCCCCCCCTCCCCAGAATACCTGTGCTTCCCTGCAGAAAATGAGCATGGGTGCAGTTTCTTTCTTTTTTTTTTTTTCCGGGGAGGGGTTTGTCCCCACAGAGGCGAGACCTGGGAGGCACACATGGTTATGTGCCACTGCCCACCCACCCCCATTTCTGCAACTGCAGAGCTGCCCAGCTAAAGGAGGCTGCATCTTGGCTCCAATGACTCTGCAGCTGAATACCACCTCTTGGGTCCTAGTGCCAGTTGTGCTCCCCTTCCGTGTGCTGGGAGCTTTCCTGTTTTTGCTGCAACCATGAGTGCCAGCGGTGGAGCGAAGGGGGGCCGGGGGGAGAGGTAGGGGAGAAGGAAAGGGGGGTGGGGAGGAGAAGAAAAGGGGATAGGGGAATTGCAGGGAGAAGCCGGAGCCCACCATGCAGCATCCCCTCAGCAGCAGCTGGCGCTCCCCCCTTAAGGAGGCCCATCAACCGTACACCTGAACCCCTCAGACAAGGTCCCCCCCCCCCGCCACTTACCCCACTGAGCCACAACCAGCTGCACCTGGACCTCCCTACTAAGCTCCCCACACTCAGATCCCTCCGCCAAGCCCAATCTCCCCACACCCAGACCCCCCCTTCCCCCCGTGAGCCCCAAACACCTTCATCAGGATTCCCTGCAGTCCCACTGCCCCTGCACCCAGAACTCCGCAATGAGCCCCTGTGCATCCAGATCTCCCACTGAGTCACCCGCACCCAGACTGCCCCACAGTAAGCCCCTCCACACTTGGATCCTGCCCACCCACAGCAAGTGCACCTGGCACAGATGGGCAGGACCCTGTGGTGTTTCTTGGGCAGGCCCAGCTCTTGCACTGTGTCAGGGTTGGGTGCAGCCTCACTGCCGAGTCCCTGTCCTGAGGGAGGTACGGCCTTCAGGGTGATCTCCCACCTCAAAGCAGTCAGTGGCCTGTGCTCCCAACTGCCATGCTGGAGCCACATTTATTTATTGACAAAAAATGTGCAGAATTTTAAAATACTGTGTGCTTAATTTTTTGGTGCATAATTCCTTCAGAAGTAAATGTGTCTACCTTTATAAGCTTTGAGGTGGAGAATTTTTTACTCTTATTATTTCTCCTACAAGTTGACAAGCAAATCAAACACACACTAAAGGCAACATCCCACCTTAAAGTTCATTATCATTCAAGGCATTGAAATAAGTATCAGCCGAACCTCTTAAATATAGTAGACTGCAAGAAAACAGAAATGCTCCTTACACTGCCTTTCTCCTTTAGAGCATTGGCCAGATTACAATAGGCATCAGGGAAGTGTGGCTGTAGCTCAATAGCACGTCTGTAGGTGTCTATTGCCAGATCTATCAGTCCTTGCTCATAATACACACAGGCCAGGTTGCCATGCACAACTGCATGATTAGGACTCAGACTCAAGGCTCGTAAGTAGGCTGCTACAGCTCTGTAATGAGAGATGTGTGGTTAGTGTTCACATGGCCTATGTAAGATGACAGCAGAAAGTTATTTTTACATTTAACTTGGTCATAAAGGTAACCTACATAGACGAGAAAATAGGGTTTGTGCCTTTTGCTGCTTTGAGGTCAAGGCATGAAAAGTCTTGTCTACCCTGTAAGAATAAGGGCAACTGGAGAAAAAGAAGGATTATGACATTACAGAAACTAAAAGTGAAACCCATCTGAGGAGACAAGTGATTTATTCAGACTGTTTAAAAAGCTTTGCTTGCTTTTTTGTGACATCTATTTAATTAACAGACTTGGGAGAATGACACTCTGCTCCCATCAGTTAAGAGCCAAGAGAGCTTCTAATCCACATTGCAGTCATCAACAAATTCACGTACATCTCCAACCCCCACAAAAAGGACTTGAAATCCTTAACATTTCTGAGGTAGACACACAAAAAACCAAATTCCCCTCACAGGTCTCCTGTGTATCAAACTAAAAAAGGATCAATTCCCCCTTCCCCACCTTTGTAAGTCATCTGTAAAGAAAAAAAATATAACTTTAAATATATTTCTACTACATTAAGAAAAATCAGTTGTGAATGTAAGGATCTCTAAAAGAAAGTAATACATACAGAGATGTTTAATTCATGAAAACAAGATTTCTGTGGCCAGCTAAGTATCAACTCTACAGAGCTAATGTGAAAAGGAACAAGGTGTTTAATGGACAAACTATGTAGCTGCTAGAAGTGGTCTAAGATGATGCCCTTCTACACAAGGAATGCCTTCCCAGGCCACTACCCTTTTTGTCCAAATCCCTCCTCAAGCCCCCTTTGCCCATGAAACTAGGAAGAGTGTCATTTATACTGAAGATCCATACATAGATTATTTTTCCATAATGCTCTTGCCGTAAATAACCTTGTATTCTTCTGGTTCTCATCCCTGTTCCTTCTCATATACCCAGCCCCTACTGTTTTGTTACCTTCCCTTTTGTTAAATAGGTCAAGTTAAAATTAGACTATGTTTTTCAGGACAGAGTCCTCGTGATTAGTCTACAGTGTGCAGCTTTTAGCACATTTAGCATATTATATTTCTTGCCTTAAGAGGTACCCTGATCCAAGAGTATCTTCTCTTTTGCACACTAGTCCTCCTAAGGGGTATGTTTTACTTTTGCAACAATGCTACCTCAGCAGGTTTTTGAGATAATGTAGCCAAGCTCAGGCCATCTCATCAGCCAACTTTACAGTCTGTTTCCAATAGAGTCCCTTTGCATTATGTGCTTTATCTTACATTTATCTACATTGTACGTGAATAATCCCCACGTGGGATGAAATAAAGTGTTCTTTGTGCTTGTGATTACTTTTACTTTAGCAGCTGTGCGGCACAGGAGATCTTGCTTTAAAAATGCTACTCTGACCTTTACAGCAAATGTATTTTGTCAAAATATATCAATTTAACACAACAAAGTGTAAAATTATGGCAAAGCATTCAATCTTATTATTGTATCTCATCTTTCCATTATTCTGCCTGCTCATCCCCAACCCATGTGTCATTCCTTGCTCTGTTATGTCTAATTTAGATTGTAAACATGTATTAAGAATCTACCTTTTTTATTTGTCTGAAGATCATGCACACCCGTGCCTCTATATAAATAAATGTGGCTAAGAATCTTGATTCCTAAAAAATACATTAATTTAATAATGCATTTACACAGTGGAACAGATCACCAAAAGGTAATCAACAAATCAGATATCTTTCTAAGAAACATGTTCTAATTTAACCACATATTATGGAGCTTCATATAGGAATTACTGGGTCAAATTCTAGGATCCGCATTGTGCAGGTGGCCAGAATAGAACATAATGTGCCTTTCAGGCCATCTATGAAATTCAAAAGCTGCAAGTCAGTCAATAGAAATTATAACCCTATTTATGAATTCAGACACAGTATGGTACATAGCACTAAAACACCACAACCTGGCTCTTTTCCCAGGAAAAAATTATGGACTAAAATTTTAGATTTATGTGTTCAGATTAACAATGATCGCACAAAACTAAAATGAGATTTTAGGCAGGTCAATGAAGACATCCATGCAATGTGTTGCAGCAGCCACAAATACTGCAATACATATGCCAGAGAATATAAAAAAAATAGATAAAAGATTCTCAGCTGAATATAGTGCTCCATTTTAGTTGTCCTACCTCAGAAGTGAAAGAGTGTGCAGAGAAGAGCAGTAGCAAGAAGGATTTGAAGGTCTGGAATTAAGTTGATATAAAAAGCATATCAAATAAAATGGTGGACTATTTATCCTTTTCCATAAACCAGAAAAAACAAACAAACAAGGCATTCAAAATGAAGAAGGCTGAAAACTGAAAAAGAAAAAGCTGATGGCTATACAGGATTAAGGAACTCCCTTCCTCCTAAATCCAAAGTGATCTGAAAGTGGAAATATTTTATAAGCGGCTGGCCAACCATCAGGTACAGGCATTGTTGAATGAGAGGTGCCAATTTTTTTTTTTTTTGACATGGCAATCATACATAACAAAGCTACCATTCTGTGCGCTCTTTCCTGATCTTACAGCTCACAAATTTCAACCTGCGTAGTTAGAACTGGAAGACAGAGCCATCCTAAAGGTGCCACCATAATCCAGGAACCACCTTCCCAGTAATAGTCAACTTGCAAATTCCTAGTTCGGCCTTTCAGAAAGAAACATCTCTGGTTACAAGTGAACAAATAACTATCTATGGTACTTATGGACCCCTCACCACACTAGTATGAGAGTGTCACAATCTTTAATGTATTTATCCTCACAACACCCTCTGAGAAGTAGGGCAGTGCTATTTTCCCCCTTTTACAAATGGGAAACTGAGGCACGGTGGTTTTTCCCAAGGTCACACAGGGAGTGTCTGAATGGAGGAGAGAACTGAACCCAGGTCTCCCGAGTCTGAAGCATGGAAAGGGCAAATTCAAGGAAGACCAAAAATGTTCTGCATAAAGCATCAACTCACATCTGTGTTATCACGCTGAAATTAAAACAAATGCGCACCAGCAGTCTGTCTTGTCCAGTATTCTGAGACAGAGGTCTGTACTGGATTCAGCAGTTATGGAATAAACAGTCCTCACAGAAAGTTTCTTCCTAGCCCCCCTTCCTTATGCCTTGAAACACAAAGGCTTATATCTGTTTTAAAAAAACCACCAAGAGTTTTAAGTCCTAACTTTTGTACCTCTGGATGGTCTCACTATCCACATCAATTCTGAAACTATTTAAAATTCTACACTCTTGCCTTCAACAGTATCCTGCGACAGTGAAATAACTGTGCCTTGCACATAACAGTATTTCCTTTTATCAGTTTTAAGTGTGCTGGCAAGGTTTTATTGAATTCACATCTCCTCTCATAATTACGCAGTCCCAATCTTTTAAGTCTTCACTTACAAATTTCTCTAAGCCTTTTAATCACTTATCACCAGCTTCTGAGCCCCCGGCCACTAAGTTTTATTACACCATTTTGAAATAGGCTGTCCAGAACAGAACACAGTATTCCAGAGGCAAGAATACATTTGAACTCTAAAACATATCTTCATAATTATCCTAACACCATTTTCTTTTTTGATAACCATTGCACATTGAGTGTCCAAAGATTGCCAAGTTATTTTTTCAAGTTTTTACATTTAATTTAAAGCCCAATAAGGTCTGAATATGAATAGATCAAATTATCCCTCCTAAATAGCATTGAAATTCACTGACAGTGAATTTAATTTGCCATCATCTTGCCCATTCATTAAGCTACATTAGATTGCTTGGTGTTCTCTGGTCTTGATTAACCTAGTAATTTGTGTCCTCAAAGATTATCTACCATTTTAACTCTGACTCTTCAAGATGACCACGTCTATGGATCCATACAGCAGGAAAAACGTTTATCCTCAGCAACTGAACTTCGAAGTTTCCAGAAAGCATTTGTACTCTGATTACATGTTCATGCATCCAATCTGAGGAAAAGGGGCAGAAACCACTCCCTCACCAGTCAGGTCTTTCAGTGTAATCACTAATTTACTGTAAGGAGGATGGCAGAGAACAGATTCCTGAAGGCAACCTTGAAGAAACATATACTATGCTAATTAACTATTCTTTAAACATGGCAAATAGTTGCCATGGAGTCTGAGGATTTTTTAAAACAGTGAGGAAATTCTGCTGTCCCAAACTGAGAACTTCATCAGGGCTAAATCCAGAGTAATGTTGCATGGAAATATGGATGGATTGCAGGTAGCAGACCTGAATATCTCCACAATGGTGACATTTCTGAAACATGACATGGCTGTGTTAGATATTGTGGAACATGTTCTAACTTGGTACTGAAACTCCCACTGGTCCACAGCAAAAGAGTATGCTGAATAATTCACTGCCGCAGTGCCTGGATGAAACTGGATTAACTTCAATGCTACAGACACTCTCAGGGTCCGCATGTCCAGTAAAAGGCCCAGCACAAGACTAAATCTGATGATTAGGGTTGTACGTTCTGACTGAGAAATTGCTCATTTACCAAACATTGTGCCACCACACACAGACCAAGACAATGGACTCTGCCTCAGACATTAAGACTTGCTTCTGATGAACTGGGAGTGAATCTGAAGGTGGAAGGCAATTTGGGTAAAAGTGATCACAAAATGACAATTTCACAATTCTAAGGAAAGGAACGAGAGAGCAGCAGAATAAGGTCAATGGACATCAGACAAACTCAGCATTGGTAGGTAAGGTCCTGTGGGAAGAAAAATCTAAGGGATAAAGGCATTCAGGAGAGTTGGCAGTTGCTCAAGGAGATAGTATTAAAAGCACAACTGCAAGCTATCCTGATGAAAAGGAAAGACAGGAAGAACAGTAAGAGGTGAATATGGCTCCATCAGAAATGAAAAAGGAATCCTACAAAAACTGGAAACATGGACAAACTGTTAAGGCATACAAAAAAATAGCACAAGCATGAAAGGACAAAACCAGAAAGGCTAAGGCACAAAATGAGTTACACCTAACAAGGGACAAAAGGTAATAAAAAGAGGCACTTTAAATATATTCAGAGCAAGAGAGACAAAGGGAAACTGTAGGTCCTCTACTTAGTGGGAAAGGAGAGCTAATAATGGATGATATCAAGATGGCTGAGGTATTTAATGCCTCTTTTGCTTCTGTCTTCACTAAAAAGTGAAATGGTGACCAGATACTCAACACAATATTAACAAGGGGGAAGGAATGCAAGCCAAAATAGGGAAAGAACAGGTTAAAGAATATTTAGATAAGTTAAATACAAGTCTGCGGGGCCTGAGGAAATTCATCCTTGACTACTTAAGGAGCTAGCTGAAGCAGTCTCAGAACTAACACCAATTATCTTTGCGAACTCATGGAGGACACATGATGTCCCAGAGGACTGGAAATAGGCAAAACAGTACGTATCTTTAAAAAGGTGCATAAAGAGGACCTGGAGAAATATAGATCAGTTAATCTAACTTCAATACCTAGTAAGGTACTGGAACCAGTTATTAAACAATTTGTAAACATCTAGAGGATAACAGGGTTACAAGGAATCGACAGCATGGGTTTATCAAGACTGCATCATGCCAAACCAACTGAATTTCCTTCTTCTTTGACAGGGTTACTGGCCTGGAGGACAGAGAAAATGGAGTAGATGTGATATACCTTGATTTCCATAAGGCTTTTGACACAGTCCCACTTGACATTCTCATAAGCAAACTATGGAAATACGGTCTAGATCAGTGGTGGGCAAACTACGGCCCATGGGAGCATCCTGCCCGGCCCTTGAGCTCCTGGCTGGGGAGGCTAGCCCCCAGCCCCTCCCCTGCTGTTCCCCCTCCCCTGTAGCCACCCGGGCAGCGTGGCTTGCACCTGCGCAGCTCCCAGGCTTTCCAATAAGCCAGTCCTGCCGCTCTGAGCGGAATGGTAAGGGGGCGGTGAGGGTTGGATAAGGGGCAGTCAGGGGATGGGGAGAAGGGGGGCAGTTTGATAGGCATAGGAGTCCCGGGGGGGAGGCATGGGAGTCCCAGGGGGAGGGGGGCTGGATAGGGGTCAGGGAAGTCAGGGGAGGTTGGATAGGGGGTGGGGGTGCAGTTAGGGGCGGGGGGTCCCGGGAGGGGGGCGGTCAGGAAACAAGGAGCAAGGGGAGTTGGATGGGTCGGGGGGTTCTGAGGGGGAGGGGCAGTCAGGGAGCGGGAAGTGGGAGGGGGCGGAGGCCAGCCTGTTTGCGGAGGCACAGCCTTCCCTACCTGGCCCTCCATACAGTTTTGCAACCCTGATATCTAGATGAAGTTACTATAACGTGGGTTCACAACTGGTTGAAAAAGACTACGCAAGGAGTAATCATCAGTGGCTTGCTGTCAAACTGGGAGGGTGTATATAGTGGGGTTCTATAGGGGTCAGTCCTGTCTTATGCAATATTTTTCATTAATAATTACTTGGTTAATGAGTGGAGAGTATGCTTATAAAATGTGCAGATGACACCAAGCCTGAAGGGGTTGCAAGCACTTTGGAGGGCAGGATTAGATTCAAATCGACTGACAAATTAGAGAACTGGTCTGAAATCAACAAGGGGAAATTCAGCAAGGTGCAAAGGACTACACTTAGCAAGGAAAATATCAAATGCACAACTACAAAGTGAAGAATAACTGGCTAGGTGGCAGTACCAATGAAAAGAATCTGGGGGTTATAGTGCACTAAAAGTTGAATGAATCTACCATGTGATGCAGTTATGAAAAAGGCTACCATTCAGGGGCATATTAACATGAGTATTGTATGTAAGACACAGGAAGTAACTCTCCCACCCTATTTGGCGCTGGTGAGGCCTCAGCTGGAGTAGTGTGCCAATTCTGGGCACCACACTTTAGGAACGATGTGGACAAAATGGAGAGAGTTCATAAGAGAGCAACAGGAAATGATAAAAGTTTAGAAAACATGACCTATGACTATGAGGAAAGGTTGAAGTAAAATCCGGGCGTGTTTAGTTTTGAGAAAAGGAGACTGAGTGGGGACCTGATATTGTTAAGCACTGTTAGAGGACAATGGTTGTCCTCCATATCTACTGAAGGCAGGATAAATAGTAACGGGCATAATTTTCAGCAAGGGAGATTTAGGTTAGATATTAGGAAAAGGTTTAACTATCTGGGTAGTTAATTTCTCGAATAGGCTTCCAAGGGAGGTTGTGGAATACCCATCACTGAATATTGGACAAATACCTGTCAGGGATGGTCTAGACCAGGGGTCTCAAAGTCCCGGCCAGCGGGCCAGCTGCGGCCCAAGAACCTCTCCTATGTGGCCTGTGGGGCTCCAGCAATTTTGGGGCTGGGTCTCTCTCTTGGCCCTGCCTGCCGCCCCAGTGCATTCCCACCCTGCCTGTCCCCCGGGTGATTTAAAACGGCCTGGGGCCCCGCTCACCACTGGCAGTGCAGAGGAGCTGAGCAGCTTCCTGCACGCTTGCTCCACATGGCTGCCAGCCTCTCCCTGCGGTGCTGGGGCAGGGCTGTGCCTCCGCATGCTGCCCCTGCCCCGAGCGCCCCTGCAGCCAATGGGAAGCTGCAGGGGTGGTGCCTGGGGGCAGCAGCACACAGAGGCCCCCCCAGCCTGCCCCGCCTTGGAGCCCCAGGTAAGCACCACACCCCAACCCCCTCCCAGAGCCTGCACCTTCACCCCCACCCCATCCCCACACAATCCCTCCTGCCCCCAAACTCCCTCCCAGAGCCTCCAACCCCACCCCCTCCTCTTGCACCCAGCACCCAAACCCCATCCCAGAGCCTGCACCCCAGACCCTCTCCCTCACACCCCTTCCCAGAGCTCAACCTCTCACCCCTTCTGCACCCCAATCCCCTACCCTAGACCTCCTCCCCCACCCAAACTCCCTCCCAAAGCTTTAGGCAGGTGTGGGACGGAGTTTTGGGGGGGGCGGGTTCTGGGCATCATGAGTGACATTATTGCCCCACTGAGCGAATTTGAGGACTGGCACTAAGGTAAATTGAGTTTGAGACCCCTGGTCTAGACTCTAGATTTACTTGGTTCTGCCTCAGCACAGGGGCCTGGACTTTATGACCTATTGAGGTCCCTTCCAGCCCTACACTTCTATGAACACAAGTCATCTAGAATGGAGCAGGAAAGTCTCAATGGGGAAAAGAAAAAAAAAAGAGGCAAAGCGGAACTAAAGTTTTGGCAAATAGCCTAACTACACTGTATTAATAAAAATGAGGTGAAAGCCTTAGATCTCACAAGGATACCAACAGGAGTAGTGACAGACAAGGCTAAATTTCTGCTCTCCAGGAAGCTCAAAGCTTGCATATAAAGAGCATATGTTTCTCCTTGAATTGCAGTCTTTACAGGCAATGCTTGAAGTAAGAAAAGCTCTCTAAATTAGGAGTCCTAATACATGTTTGGTTAAGCATCTGATTGGCTGCTGAAGGGATGTTATATGCTTACCTGTCAAATATCCTTGCCTCCTTTAGAACATTCCCCAAATTGATGTAAGCATCCAAGAAGTTTGGGTCAAGTGTCACAGCCTGAAGATATTAAAAAAGGTAACTTACAAGCTTTGAACAGTACACTAAGAAACCCAAAGTTAATAGTTTTTTAATGTATATAACCCAATTTGTAAGCAGTTATTTAAAGGATTCTATAAAACTAATGAGTAAGAAAGATTAAAGGTAAGCATAAAATGCTAATATACACAACATATTTCTGCATGCTTTCTGGAGTGAATTTACCACTTGTGAAAGATGCTGGATTGACAACAGTGAGGACTGAAGTCCAATTTTTATCCACAGAACACACCACAGTACAAGCTCCCCTAAACTGGCCTACCAATATATCAACCCTGACCTAGTTGTCTCCATGTTCATGCAATCCCTCGCCTGTCAAAATGGATTCCAACAGATGCCAACTGTGGTTGTTTTAGGTTATAAAATAAAAAACTAACATCTTTCATCATGCAGTATTCTTGGTATTTGCAAGATCATATGGGGGGGGGGTCACTTCATCACACAATGATGCTGAAGCACAGCTATTCTGCATGAGGGAGCAACAGACAACAGCATTTACAGCTTTACAACTAGTAAGACTTAATGGAAATCCTAGAAAAGTGTTTGAGTGAATCACTCATGCACATTTTGGTGTGAATCCCTTTTTATAAGGGACTATTTTCCTCAACCCCACAGTTGTGCCCCAAAGATTTGTCTGAAGTTGGGTTTACTCTACTTTACCCCCACCAATGCAACGCTATGATTTCTCTACCTGTTTTAGGAAACAACCCTCCTGTACTTACACGGCTAAGAAATGCAACCCATGTCCCTCACCTGTGGCAAAATACTGAGCCAACTACAATTTTTTTTAGATGCTATAGAGAGTCAGTACAAGAGTAAAAGAGAGCAAATATTGTATTGGTCTTTAGAAGGCTATTCTAGCAAGTTCATATCTGGTACATTATTTTACTAGGAACTGAAAGTATGCTAATAAGTTAAAGATTCAAAATACAGAATGTAGATGTAACATTAGATTTTAGATAAGCATTTGATAGACTAAAAACTTAAAGGTCACTCATATGAAAACTACCACATGGAGTAAAAATGGCTGAATGATCATAATTGCTGTTTGTGATCCTGGTTTATGTCATAGAGGCCAAGAAAAAATTGTTGTGTAGGATATATTAGGACTGGATTTAGACCATTAAGGAATCTGAAGAGAAACAGCACATTATCAGATTATACTAACTGGGAGGTGTTGCACACTAGCAAGAGCAGGAATTATACATAAGAATCTAGAGGTAGAAACACGGGCAGGAAACAATATTTAACATCGTGGGAAAATGCAATTAGTACATCTGTTTGAAGTAACTTTCCTAAGCTGTTCAATGGAAATACTTGGAAACAGCAAACTGAAGAAAACTACTTTAACAGGAAATTGTACTAGCCAACTTTATTTAAGAGTGCTCAGATACTACCAGGATGATGTTTTAGAAATGCTTGTAATAAAGCAGTTCTCACAGGAGTTAGAGATGGAAAAAGGCTATTAAAGTCATTTACCACATGCTCTGTCAGAGCAGAATTTTTCCACCTTTGATAATTCCTTATTACAGCAATTCTAAAACATCACTCCAGTGTCAACTTGGCAGCATAACACGTGAATAAGTATTTCATGAGTTAAGTTATACCAATAATTAACAATATACCACATTGGGTAGTAGTATATGCAGACCTGAATACTTCTACCAGCTAGAAAAGTACTTACGTCTATGTACCCAATTCTTCGCTCACTAGAATTAACTGAAGAACATGACAGGCGTAAACAGTTACCTTTTCAAAGTGATGAATGGCAAGCCAAATTTCTCCTTGAGCATTGAAAACACACCCAAGATTACTCCATGCTACTGCAAAGTTTGGCTGAGTCTCAATTGCTTTCAAGTAACAGGCCTTGAAACAGTTAAGAAGAAAGATAGAGAGGAAGGGGAATATTTGTAAAAAGAAAAACGAGAAAAAAAAACAATCGTCAGTATTCCTTCTCTAACCAGCCAAAAGTGATCCTGCAGTATAGGCTAGCTTGCGCCAAAACTAATGCACTGTAAACAGCTGGCTGATCCTGCGCCAGCGCAAACCAAAACCTAAGTGCAAGCCCACCATTTTTCAGTTATGCTGATCTTTAGGTAATATGCCTTCAGAAACCAATTCACCTGTTAGTACAGAACTGAGGATTTTGCTTCCAAATCATTTCTAGTTCTGACTTGTCCGTCAAATCTAGGAGTCAAGAATTTACTCCATAAAGCAACTGGTTTCCCTTGGATACAAAGGTCTTAAGTCAGGAAAAATGTATATGACTTTAAAAGTACTCTGAAGATATGGATATAAAACGTTTTTTAAAAAAAAACCTAGAAGAAAACTACTGAAAATGGCATTAACATTTTTGAAGGCTTACCTGTTCTTTCCCGAGTCAGAAGTTACATGCAAGTTGTATTTTATTCTGCTATTTCTACTCACAACTCCTCCCTCTTTAATATATTTTGACTGAGTCACTGCAGCTTCAAAACCTCAAATAACAGAATTGCATGAAGGTTTAGGTCCCTGTAATGCAAGCGCAAGAAGTCGCTGGCGCATCCTAACAGCACGCCGCCACGCTATCGCTGCAAATTGCTGTGCTACGTAGAATGCCCCAAGATAGAGTGAACGGCCAACCAGAATCATTAATCTACCAGACAGGCCCATGTAGAAACTTCCATGTTAAATTTGACATCTGGACTAAATGAACAGTGACCCGATTTTATCTAAAAAGAGTATGGCATGGAGCTCAGACAGCCGCCCAATCAGAGATTAATCATCTAGACAACCGTTCACAAGGGCTTACTCGCACGCAATGCGCGTTACCGCTGCGCAGCCTTTGCGCTACTGCAGGATCACAGCGCATCATCAGAAGAGCAGAACGCTGCAATCCAAACAAAGAAGAAAAAAAGGAAAAAATGAACAACCAGAAGAGTTAGAAGATTTTACTATAAACTATTTCCAATTATTATTTCTTTTTTTTTTTTAAAAATATCTTAATTTACTTTTACTTTATTTCTTTGAAAGAATTGTGGCTAGTAGTATAAAACATTCTCTTACATTACTTGCTTGTAAATAAAATATTTTAAGCTGTTTCTGAAGCCACAAGACAGAAGATTCAGGCATGGAGGCAAATGGTTTTGCTGTGGCAGTTACAAACCCGTTACCATATTTCTCATCATGTGACTTTTCGGTGCGTTCCTTGCTGGAAGAGGAGGAGGAGGTGTGTGTCTGCCCTAGATCCAGGCCTCGAGCTCCCTTCAGCGAGGCACCTTACGCATGGAATAGGAGGTTTCACCCACCTGAAACCTTCTAAATACAATATCAGTGGTGAAAAACCAAAAACAAGAGAGAAAATAAAACAAGATCATTAGTAAAAGTTCAACAAAGCAATTGAAATTCTCTGGATATGTCTAACATGGGAATGAGAACAATCTGTAACATAGGAGTCATGCAGAAGGGAGAGGGTTAATCAGGGCTATTGCATACAGCAGGGACTTTTTTTTTTTTGGGAAGAAAGGCTCTGAAATGTCTACCAAGAAATTAAGTTTTGGTTCAAACTGTAAGGAATTTGCTGGCTTGATCTTTCAAATGCACTGATAACCAAAGAAATACATTGCAATTTACTCAAGATATTTTTCTTGCTCAGTGAGTTCTCAGAAAAAACAGAACAACTTTCAGACTAGGTGTCTCCAGAGCTCTGAAACAAAGAGGTCAGCAACCTAAGGCAGGCGCAGTGTCTTGGCCTATACCAGTCACACTAAAGCTGCAGTGAAGTGCAATGCATGTTAGCTGTCCACTTGGTGGGCTGAGAACCAAGTGTCTCAAAGACATTTATAATTGGTGAACTACTATTTCAGAATCTGTTCAGCTCAGATCTGACCAACTGTGAATTATGCTGGTATAGACAAGTATGTATCCGAGTTGTCAGAAAAAAATATGAACAATGCACTTTAAAGTGGCACTTCCTCTACCCCATAATAGATGGTGCTAAAAGCAATATCCCTCCCCAGATGGTGCTGCAGCCAAACAGACAGCTACACTGTTCATACACTCCACTTGTTAGCATGCGCGTGGGGCTTGGAGTGACAGACGTGGAGTCCAAAGTCACTCTGGTTTCTCCACACTCCTCACCCCTGCAGCGCGGACGCGTAAGGTGGCTTGTAACAAGACCATTTTGTTTTGCAATCAAAGTTTTAAATATGTCAAGAGCTTTAAAACCCATCTTGGTATTCAAATTCTCAGTTTGGGAAACACAGACTGCTAGAAGCCACCTTTCCACTTTAGCAAGTTTTCTTTCAATCAGTTCATTTCCCAAACAAACCAGCTTTGTCCTTCTGATGCTTTATTTTGGGGAAAGACATGGAAGCACAAGTTTAGGGGATGATGTACTGCATCTATGATAGTTTATTAGCCTTTCTTCCACTATAAAGGTGAGGGGAAAGGTTAAAGAATAAAATCTCTAAAAGCCAATATTACAGAGTAACATTTGGATAAGGTTCTTCTCCACTTACAAGCTGCAAAGGACTTTAGAAGAGCAGCATTTTCAATAGCACCTGCATTGTACAGGAATCTCGAGCTAAATCACAGGCTCTCTGCTTGGCACCAGCAGGCAAGCCTCAGATTTGAAGGAATGTTATTTATTTCCAGATAAGATCATGGTGAAGGCCCTGCCCAAGACTTCAGAATGATATCAGATAGTCTAGTTCAGCAGAAAGACTCAGTAATGTTCCGTTTCTTGTTTTAAACCAACATTTAACATAGACGTGCCACATCTTGCCCTGCAACTACGCTGGGGCAATTCAGTGCCTTCAGTTTTCAGCAGTTTCTCAGATTGTTTGCAGATCAACGCAGATTTGAAGACTTGGTGAAAAGTTCAAGTTTTCAAAACATTGACGTTTAAATGTATTCTACTGAACACCTACCTTGGCTTCTTCCAAGCGACCCAGGGCTTTGAGCAGGTTCCCCAGGTCACTACGAACACAGTACAAGTCCTGAAAATCAAAGTCATGTTGTCAGCAGCTGCACTTGGGAGTGAAGAGACCTCAAAGCTCTTCAGAGAGATCTTATGAAAGTGCTTAGACTTCTCTAATCCCCTAGTGCTCACTGTTTTCTATTGTACCATTCAAGACCCTTCGTAACCAACTAGATGAAGCCTAATGAGTTTGCTAGATCTAAAATCTTTGATGTAGTGCGTAATCAAACTGTTAAACAGTAATATGGTGATTTCTATAAAGAGAAGCACCCAATTAATCCAATTCATAATAATGGAAAAACACCAACAGCAAACAAAGAAAATAAGTTTTTAGGTCCCATTTTTGTATGAGGGTCACAATTCTTTTGAGCAGTAGTGAAAATAATTTTGGGAGAAACTGTATCATAAAAATCTACCTTAGTTCTCAAGCGCATCACCCTAATCATACCTTCATAATTATCTGTGCTTTGTTCAGATTCTGTTGTGACGGGACCTTAAGTACCTAGACAGAAAGTAACCCTGCCTCCAAGGCAGCGTTTATTTTCCACTTTTGTTCGTTTGGTAGTTTGTCCCATTTCACCTGCTTCGCTGACCCTATTTTATCGTTTTCTTACTTTCACCGTAACCAGAGCCAGGACTCAGAACTAAAATATAAAATTGGCAGCAAATGGGAGGACCAGGAGAGGAAGGCACCTTCAGTGTCTACTCCCCAGAAAGATACACATTTTAAACTTGTTTTACATTGAGAAGAACACATTTGTATAAGAAAACAATAGTACAGTATTCCTGAACAGCGCACAAGCCGACTGTTCTGCAATGAGGAAAGCTAAACCTAACAGAATTTTTTACCAGAGGTTATTTTTAATCAAATAAAATAATGGTTTTTAACCACCCCAGCAAAAAGCCAGTTAGAAAATGCCTTACACTTGGACTATTTTAAAAACAGTTTCATTAGTGCATACCACATTACACTTAGTTTTAGTTACATATTCAAATCGTGGTTACACGAGACAGTATACGTGGATTAATTTACAGATGTACAAATAAAGTAAAACTGAGTGGGTATAATACTAATATATGTATTTATAATAACTGGTCAGAATATCTGCATACATTTTGCTTCAGTACTTTCTCAGGGAATTTATACATGTCATGACTCATTTCAGTTTTCAATATTATATACACAAAAGTCAAACACATTTGATTATATGAAAACAAAAATGCAGAGTTGTAGGCCTGAAGCACTAAGCAATCAGAAGCATGCACAGTTGCAGACTACCAGTCCAGGTCCTATCGGCCATGCAGCATAATACAGCAGAAAACTAACTCCGAACCTACTCCTCAGTTCTGAAGGGATGTATCTAAAGTTTGAAATTATTTGTTCTACGCTTGCTGAACTTCTGGATACTAACAATTATTTTTCGCAGATTCCTGGTTTAAACCAGTATTTACCAGGGCCCTGTCCTAAATTAGTTTTTCCCCAGGGAAACTGACAACCCTGATCCAGTAACCAATTGTCCTACTGCAGTCAGCAGGGCTGTGTGAAGTATTTGGAGAGCACAATGCAGACCAGAGGTCAGCTCAGGCCTAATTTTAAACCCTGAAACGAACCTGAAGCAAGCACAACCCAATGCAAATCCCACCTGAGTGTGTTGAGGCATTTATAGAACTGACCCAAACATGATCCTTTCCCCCCAAACTCCTGTCAGCATGGTCTCCTCGTCCTTAGGGTTTGGCCTGGTAGGGGTTTCCCGCTCCCCTTGCCCACGGAGTTGACATGACAGCTGCTGCATGCCCTGCTCCTGCTGGCTACCATGGCCTCACTGTACTGTGCATGATGTGGCGTGAGAAGTGCTACAGTATTACTCCACAGAGAGATCGTAGTGGCCAGCAGGAGAGGGGTCTGCAGCCACTGCCACACTGACTGCATGGGTAGGTGGTGACACAGCCAACAGGTGACAGACCTGACCCGAACCCCACAACTGTATTCTGATTCTGTCAGGTTCAGGTCAGGTTGCAAGGCTCTACTGAAGACTAAAAAGATACTGAACAGTAACATCTTGGCATTAGGTATATGACAAAGTCATTAAAGCAGATGATCCCATCCAAGGGAAACACTGAAATATTAAATACTAATCTTTTTTGCATCTTGTTAATCCATAGTATGGATTTATTAGTATTTAACAACTTTCAGGTTTATATTTTGTCATATGATTTAAAAACTTTAAAAGAAGTTAGTGACAGTACAGCATTCCCTAATTCTCAATCCAGAGATCAATTTTTCCCTACTCTCCTCCTTCTCACAGAATTTCTCATGTAAGTCAAAGGCATCAATAGCAAATCACCTCTTAGAAAAATCTAAAAACATTCATAGATTCCAAAGCCATAAGGGACCACTGTGATCTAGTCTGACCTACTGTGTAACACAGGCCACAGAACTTCCCCAAATTAGCATATCTTTTAGATCATCAATCTTGATTTAAAGATTGCTAGCAATGGGGAATCTACCATAACCCTTGGTAAACTGTTTCAATGGTTAATTACCCTTGCTATTAAAAATGTATGCCTTATTCCCAATCAGAATTTCTTCAGCTGCCAGCCACCGGATCACGTTATACCTTTTTCTGCTAGACTGAATAACCTATTATCAAGTATCAGCTCTCCATGTAGGTACTTATAGACTAAGGCTTGGTGTACACTACCAACTTGTGTCAGTATAACTACATCCCTCAGGCGTGTGGAAAAACCATACCTCAAGCAATGTAGTTATACTGACCTACCCGCTAGAGTAGACAGTGCTATGTTGGCTGGAGTGCATCTCCCACTGACATAGCTACCACCTCTTGGGGAGGTGGATTAACTACACCGATGGGAGAATTCTCTTCCTTCGGAGTAGAGCATCTTCGTTAAAGCACTACAGCTGCGCCAGTGCAGTGTTTTAAGTTTACACAAGCCCTAATCAAGCTGCCCCTTAATCTTCTTTGTTAAGCTAAACATGTTGAGTTCCCTGAATCTACCACTATAACGCATGTTATATGCTCAATGCTTTTTTTGCCTCTGTCTTCACTAACAAGGTCAGCTCCCAGACTGCTGCGCTGGGCATCACAACATGGGGAGTAGATGGCCAGCCCTCTGTGGAGAAAGAGGTGGTTAGGGACTATTTAGAAAAGCTGGACGTGCACAAGTCCACGGGGTCGGACGAGTTGCATCCGAGAGTGCTCAAGGAATTGGCGGCTGTGATTGCAGAGCCATTGGCCGTTATCTTTGAAAACTCGTGGCGAACGGGGGAAGTCCCAGATGACTGGAAAAAGGCTAATGTAGTGCCAATCTTTAAAAAAGGGAAGGAGGAGGATCCTGGGAACTACAGGCCAGTCAGCCTCACCTCAGTCCCCGGAAAAATCATGGAGCAGGTCCTCAAAGAATCAATCCTGAAGCACTTACATGAGAGGAAAGTGATCAGGAACAGTCAGCACGGATTCACCAAGGGAAGGTCATGCCTGACTAATCTAATCGCCTTCTATGATGAGATTACTGGTTCTGTGGATGAAGGGAAAGCAGTGGATGTATTGTTTCTTGACTTTAGCAAAGCTTTTGACACGGTCTCCCACAGTATTCTTGTCAGCAAGTTAAAGAAGTATGGGCTGGATGAACGCACTATAAGGTGGGTAGAAAGTTGGCTACATTGTCGGGCTCAACAGGTATTGATCAATGGCTCCGTATCTAGTTGGCAGCCGGTGTCAAGTGGAGTGCCCCAGGGGTCGGTTTTGTTCAATATCTTTATAAATGATCTGGAGGATGGTGTGGATTGCACCCTCAGCAAATTTGCGGATGATACTAAACTGGGAGGAGTGGTAGATAAGCTGGAGGGCAGGGATAGGATACAGAGGGACCTAGACAAATTGGAGGATTGGGCCAAAAGAAATCTGATGAGGTTCAATAAGGATAAGTGCAGGGTCCTGCACTTAGGACGGAAGAACCCAATGCACAGCTACAGACTAGGGGCCGAATGGCTAGGCAGCAGTTCTGCGGAAAAGGACCTAGGGGTGACAGTGGACGAGAAGCTGGATATGAGTCAGCAGTGTGCCCTTGTTGCCAAGAAGGCCAATGGCATTTTGGGATGTATAAGTAGGGGCATTGCCAGCAGATCGAGGGACGTGATCGTTCCCCTCTATTCGACATTGGTGAGGCCTCATCTGAGTACTGTGTCCAGTTTTGGGACCCACACTACAAGAAGGATGTGGATAAATTGGAGAGAGTCCAGCGAAGGGCAACAAAAATGATTAGGGGTCTGTAACACATGACTTATGAGGAGAGGCTGAGGGAACTGGGATTGTTTAGTCTGCAGAAGAGAAGAATGAGGGGGGATTTGATAGCTGCTTTCAACTACCTGAGAGGTGGTTCCAGAGAGGATGGTTCTAGACTATTCTCAGTGGTAGAAGAGGACAGGACAAGGAGTAATGGTCTCAAGTTGCAGTGGGGGAGGTTTAGGTTGGATATTAGGAAAAACTTTTTCACTAGGAGGGTGGTGAAACACTGGAGTGCGTTACCTAGGGAGGTGGTAGAATCTCCTTCCTTAGAAGTTTTTAAGGTCAGGCTTGACAAAGCCCCGGCTGGGATGATTTAATTGGGGATTGGTCCTGCTTTGAGCAGGGGATTCGACTAGATGACCTCCTGAAGTCCCTTCCAACCCTGATATTCTATGATTCTATGTTTTCTAATCCTTTATTCACTCTCCTGGCTCTTCTCTGAACCCTCTTGAATTTATCAACATCCTTGAATTTTGGACACAGGAATCAGGTATTCTGGCAGCAGTCTCACTAGTGTCAATTACAGAAGTAAAATAACTTTTCTACTCCTACTCGAGATTCTCCTGTTTATGCAGCTAAGAACTGAATTTGACCTTGTGGCAACAGCATTGCCCTGGGAGCTCACATTCAGCTGATTATTCACCACAACTCCCAAATCTTTTTCAGAGTCACTGCTTGGGAAATTTCCTTTATTAACTCAATTATAGAGATAAGTATATAAGAAGCAGTCATAGAACATTCCCAGAAAAACTTTTTTTTGCAGACAAGCAAAGAATGTCATGCCTTTTAAAACCTGTAAAAAGAATGTTAATTGTGAAAAATCTGACTAGAAACATGGTCAGCGGTTCTCAAACTGTGGGTCGGGAACCCCAAAGTGTGTCACGACTCCGTTTTAATGGGTTACCAGGTTGGCGTTAGACCTGCTGGAGCCCAGGATCGAAGCCAAAGCCCAACCCCCATCGCCCAGGGCTGAAGCCCAAGGGCTTCGGCCTGGGGTGGCAGGGCCTGGGCTTCAGCCCCCCCAGCCCGGGGTCATGTACTAATTTTTGTCGTCAGAAGCTGGTCACGGTGCAATGAAGTTTGAGAACCCCTGCACTAAGTCTATGGTTAGGGTTTCACCACCAGCCTTAACTCTTCAAATCATCATGTAAACCAAAGACTTCTCTATCTGTACTGAAGCAGCAGTGTGCTTGATGATGGGGTATAACATGGAGCTCTATGAACAGAGTGTTACTTACAGGATTGTACTGAAGGGCAGAAACATAGGCTTGTACTGCCCCTTCCATATCACCCGCAGCTACCAGTGCAGCAGCCAGATTAATATATCCATCAATGAAATCTGGTTTGAGGCGTAGCGCATGCCTATAATGCTCAATAGCTTCTTGCAGCTGCCCACGTTCCTTGTACACATTTCCTAGATTTGAGTAGGCTTCGGCCAACAATGGATTCTGTTTAATAGCCAAAGTGCTGAAGTGAGCGGACCTGGAGAAAATCAGACAAGTTAACACAAACAACTTTGCCAACGGGGAGGTTTACAGGCAAGCCTATGGCCAGAATTACTCGTACAATCTCAAGTCAGTCAACTATATAACCAACTAACCATCCTTGCAAAACCATCCTGCAAGGTTTATCTGCCCAGGCACAAAATCTACTATTCCAACTTCACAATATTTTACATGCTTATTCAAGACAGATTACTTGTCAGAGGTAAGTACAATTTTGCAAAGCTTCTAGCCTAAGCTCACACTGATGGATCAAAAACACTCCAAAAAACTTCTATTCACACGTTTCAACGGTTTCAGGCTTTGGCATGCCTTCCGATCAACTTACACACATGTTTTTTCTGACTCTTTTCAATAGACAGAGTAACAGGAAGGGGTGATGTAGAAACTTTTTGTTCCCTAAACTTGGGAAATATTACACTTGATCTAAACCACATAAAATGATCCCAAGGCACTATGGTGAGGAGACGCTTGCAGCAATAATTCTAAACACACCATTTAATTAGTTACACCTCCAATAACTAGAACAGTTAACAAGCTTTTAAACATTTGAGGTATAGTAGAAAGTAAGATGAATGAAGGTAAAAGTACACCAATGAGTCAACTTTGAGACTAATAAAATTTCACAAAGATTGCAAAGAGAGGAACATATTTCAGGGATAAACAATATGTGTTGCGGCCTAACAGCTAGTGTCCAAGAGGCACCAGAAGAAACAACGAATAACGTAGAAGTGCCTTTGAGTGCACCTGGTACATACAGTTGATGCTGATTTGTCCATTTATGGCATTAAGAGAAGTTATCCCTGTCACGTGTTTAACCAACTTAAGCTATTTAGAGGAATATGTGCGTCTCTCTATTCTTCAATTCGGTTACTTTGAGCACAAAACCCAAAGCTCTGAGGAGGCTTAATAAAAGCAAACACACTTTCATGTGTTTTGCACGAAGATTGTCATTATAGAGGCTCCCATTCCCAAGCTGGTAGAGGATTTCATGGAGCATAATTTACTAACCTTGGATACAACCTCTACAGAAAGTGGTAAAAAAGCCCAGAAGAGATATTAGACACTACCTTGGTGTTGCCTGGGATGCTATTCACCATAACCAAAGCCAAAAACGGAAAAATAATCTATGGCTACTGCCCTGATCTTCTCTGTTGTCAGTCAAGTAGTGACTCAAATATCAGTTAAATAACAAAATTAACTAAAATTATAACAAAGTTTCTCATAGCTGCAGACAGCATTAATAGATTCTTTTTTCAGGCTAGAAGTGTTAACGAAACCAAGAGTAGAAATGGACATTCCAAATCTCTTACCTGTCCAGTCTGCGACACTGGAAGTGAATGGATGATAGTAATAAAAGAACGCCAGTGTTATCAGGCTCTTGTCTCCAAAGCTGCATGCAGTGTCTCTCTGCTGCTTCAAAGTCTCCTGCCTGATATTCACGATGAGCCAACTCCGCTAACCCTTGGAAGGAAAGCATACGTTTCGTTGGTTCTGGAGAATCACCAAAACATTTAGGGGGGAAAACAAAAAGTTAGAAAATGGAAACAAAAAGTTGTAAAAATATGGTGTGTAAAATTAAAGGATGAAAATGCTTGAAACTACGTAAAGCACTAGAGTGTCTGGCATTTTAAACTCCTAAATCCTCATTTCAACATACTTTTATGACATCTCTAGCATTAATTTATATGTTTATTTTACAATGGTCTTTTCTCAGTCAGGGTTGGGAAATATATTCAATAAGAATTTATAATCAATATATTAAAAGCTGTTTATTTTCAGAAATTCACCAGTCATTACTCCCTGCTTCTCTTTTCATCACATACAAAACTATCAAACTAAATAATGTAAGATACAACCGAGTTTTTAAAACTGAATTAGAGACTTCACACTGAAATTCTATTTGAAGAGACTTCTGCTGCAATATTGTATTTCCTGTCCTTAATACCTCAGCATGAAAACAGGTTGAATCTGTTTGCTTGTTCCTCCCACCTGAAGCTAGAACCTGCTCATAATATTATAATCCATTGCTCTAGTAAGTATTGGGTGGGAAAAAGCAAGAACAGTAGCATTCTTAAAAATAAAGATACAGGTTTCATGCAAAAGAAAAAAAACACAACCCTCAAGAAATAAAAGAAAGGGAACACAAAGACTTTTGCTACATATGCAGACTTGTTTTGCATTAGAACTTGTTTCAAAGTTTTCATATGGTGCCAGCAAGTCTCAAATGGTACTTCCCTTGCCCTCACACACTGCTTATCTCATCTATGCTGAACAAAAACAAAACACCACCACCAAAACCATCCAGAGGGTGGCTTGGCTAACAGAGCATGCTGTAATTAAAGACTATATTCTCCTAGCCCTTTAAGGAATGGGTCATTAGGAAGGACAGGCTTGGGGGGCAAGGTTGTTAAGCAGAGGGAGTTAATTTTGAATGTCTAGTTAGATTAGGAACAGGAGTTTTATGTGTTTGATAAAACTTGAATATTTTTTGTTGTATATATGCATATTTTAATGGTTTAAATAAAACAGCACCTTTCTGAGACAAAGATCATGCAATCCTACTTCCCAAATGCAAATCACAGCTACCTGGCATGGAAAATGAACGATTAGGCTGAAGCACAGGTATGCTACTACTAAGCAGGGCTTGAAAAATCCATTTGTCCCAGAGAACAGGTAAGTCGCCTTGCACCAAGGTCTGTCTGAACATTTTGTACCACCAATTGTTATTTGTAACACTGAAGATTACTGTAAATGAAAGACCAGTGAAAGACTTCTATTTTTCCAATTATTGTGGATGTATTTTTACCAGATTCGCCAGTTTCGCAAAGAAACATTTCCCACCATAACCTGGTTGATCTTTATTTTATTAAATGCAAAACCCATGTACAGCTGAATCCTCTGTAATACTAGGGACCTGAAACAGATCTAATTTACCAGAGAAGCATATAGATACTACAGAAATCCCTGGAAGTCAGTTTCCTCTGGTTGTAAGAATCTAAAAAGTATAATTCTGTGTGAAAAGTAGGAAATTATGAAAAAAAGAAAGAAAAAGGTCAAGGGAATCTGAAGCTACTTATTGAGTTTTTTAATTCACTCTTTTCAAATTGATGGTATCCTTTCAATCTTTCATTTAAAAATGAATCTTTCCGGTGCTGATTGTAGAGACACACTCCGTTCATGTTTGGAAGGCTAAGCTGATTCAGTGTTCTCTTTCAAGGAAAGACAGACAGCTCTAGTGTGTCTCCTACTGTTCATAGCTTTGACATGCTGCCCTAGGGTGGAATTAACACCACTCTGGTCAGGTTCATTACTATGAACCCCTCAAGTTTTACCACACAGCCTGGGAAAGCTCCCAAGAGAGGCTAGCTCAAGTTATTCGCAGACAAACCTCCAAAACAGGCTGAAAGAATAAGTGGTGCTTCCAATTTTTAGACCTACTAGTCACAGGCTATGAAAGCTGGACTCTTCTTGGGGAATCTAAGGACACCACCATTCCCAGGAACTTGATCTGGTGGAGGACTAGGCAACTCACTAGAGGATGGCCTAGACTAGTGGTTTTCAAACTATGGGTCGTGACCCAGTACTGGGTCACGGAATGTAAGGCACTGGGTCGCGGTGGCTGTGGTCCCATCGGTGGCGCTGCCCAGCTAAGGCAAAATAGTCCCTACCTGTTCTGACACCGTGCTGCTCCCCATAAACGGCCAGCAGCAGGTCTGGCTCCTAGGTGTGGGGGGCTGCATAACCCCCGAGCACTGGCTCCACACTCCCATTGCCCGGGAGCTGGGGGGGCCGGTGCCTGTGGGCGAGAGCCACCTAGTAACCGGATCTGCTGCTGGCTGCTTTCAGGAGTAAGAGGTTTGCGGTGCCAAGACAGGCGGGAAGCCTGCCGCTGCACCGCTGACCAGGCACTGCCAGAGCTAAGCCCGCACCCCAACCCCCTGCCCTGAGCTCCCCCAACCCAGAGCCCCCTCCTGCACCCTAAAACCCTCATCCCCAACCCAGAACCTACACCCTCAGCCCAGAGTCCTGACCCCCTCCTGCACCCTAACCCCCTGTCCCAGCCCAGAGCCCCCTCGCACACCCTGAACTCCTCATACCCAGCCCTCACCCCTGCACCTCAACCCTCTATCCCAGCCCTGAGCCCCTCCCACACCCCAAACCCCTAATCCCCAGCTCCAATAGGTTGCAGGCATCAACAGTTTTCTTCAACTGGGTCACCAGAAAAAAAAGTTTGAAAACCACTGGCCTAGACCACACTGTTAAGTACCCAGTTCCCATTGGTGCTACCGCTGGTTCAGTTTTAGTCCTTCAGATAGCTTGTGCCTGGTAAAAAAAAATTCCAATCTCTGCTGTTAAGTGTTCTACTACTACTGAAGTTGCAAAGACAAAGGAAGCTAAAAGGAGGAAATCAACTGTTATGTACTACTACCCTTAACTCAAGATGGAAATGTTGAAATGAGATTTACAACTGTGAAACTAAAGGTAATCTGTTTTATTTGTTTACTTTGAAACTGAGATACGTTTTATTTGCCCCCCACCAACCCCATCTGCCAAAACACAAACATCTAAGTTTCATGCTTAAAACTGGAGGGCAAGGTGGATAAAAATCAATGATTTTTTAAAAAAAAAGCAAGATTTTTTTATTATTTTAATCAGTTTTTTTTTTTTGATAAAATGTTTGAGGGAAAAAACCTATCTAAAGATAGTTTTAATTAAGATATCTTTGAGCTATAATGTATCTCATCATGGAATAGGGATTATAAATTCTAATTCTATAGCTTGAGACAATATATTCATGTAAGGTTAAGGAAAGT